TATATATATATATATATATATATATATATATATATATCTTTTGTGTTCATATCCAGAACTTAGTATTAGGTAGGATCGGTAGGAGTTCCATTTAAAAATATAACTCTATATTTATTGCTTAGTGAAAGACTAAGGAAGATGACCAAACGTAGGATATTTAATAAACACTGCTTGTTTGTTTCAGAAGGTCGCGTTTCACTGCATGATTTGGCGCATACTTTGAATGTCGATTACGAACATATTGAAAGTGCCGTTTCTGTTATTTCCAGGCAGTCATCGACTTTTATACTTTGCAACGCTGAACTGATTTCCAGATTTGTTGTTTCGCTTTTTTTTTTAACATTATAATACTTATCTGTGAAATTCGGACAGTTTTTCATTCTAATTTAATAAGTAGAAGAAAGGCAATACTTGATCATTTTGGAGCGAAATTCCCTTCACTTGCTTTTTGGACAAGCATCAGTTATTAAGTGTAAAATAATCCTGTTGCTGAAACTTTCAGATGACATTTTAATTAGAGATCATGTAGTTTTAAAGCTACTTAGTCTATTTACACTTGATTTGCTTTCTTTTTTAGCATATCATTTAGTGAATTTTTTTTCTTCAGGGATTATATAGCTGTGTTATGCAAAGGCCTGAATGAACGATTAATGGATGTTGGCATCGTTTCTATATCGCAGCTAGCAAAAACATGGGATTTGCCTACTGAAATACTAAACAGTTTAGTTCTAGTAGAAGTTGGCTCAAAGGTTGACGCTATACGCGATGGTGATGCACTTTATACTCGATCTTATCTATGTGCTCAACGAAATATCATTAGAGCTATGCTTTGTGGACTAACCAAGTTTGTCGTAATGTTTTACTTGAACTATTATTTCAAAGGGAGAAACCATGATTTTATCGTCTTGTTTTTAGGGTGACTCCAGTTACTAGACTGCAGTCTGAATTGCAACTAACAAATGCAATGTTTTGGTCACTTTTTGATGAGCTCGATGCAATGAAAGAGGTTCTCTCACAAAAACGAGTTTTTTGAAGTGTTTCTCATGGGGAGAAGTTTTTTGCACAATGTTTGTAACTAGTTAAAGTGGAAACAACATTCTTCAGTTAATTTCTCTGCCACTACCAATTTATATTTGTTTTTTATGTTTGCAATATTTATTAATTTTCAATTCCTCTTCAATTTTTCTATGCTCAGTCGATGTTCGAGCCCTCCTATTGAAAAAATTACATAGTTTGGGTCACCATGATAATGTATTAATGTTTTTTATATCTGCAATAACAGAGCAACCACTATCAAGTACCATTCTTATAATTAAATGAATGTTTCTTCGGAAAATTGGTCCTTTAGAATTCCTGTTCTTGAGGAATATCAATGACTCACTCAGGTTCTCCGTTATTTCATTCTTTTAATATGTAGGAATTTTGCAGGTGTTTTTCATTTTACTTCGAGGCAACAATTTTTCAGATCCCGGGAAAAATATTTGGTGCTCGCACATCAAACCATTGTCTATATCATCCAAACATTTATACGATTCTGGTTAAGCGGTATATACAAAAGACTTTCTTGCAGGAGGGAATTTTGAGTAATGTTTTGGTTTTTTAGTTATTTGGCGTGTTTTTCGGAGGTTTTGAAAAAATTCTTTAAATAGCCGTGCGATTCAGTTCAGTGCCGAGCATACATTTCGTAATTTCAGAGTTAGCGGTATTCAAAAAACTTTCCATAGCAGAGCCAAAGATTTACATGAAAGAAATATTGAAGGATACGGAGCATTCGACGTTAATATATTTCCCTTCTGCTATTATAAGCAGAAAAGTTTGGAATGAAATTGAAGCAGCTGTGAAGGAAGAGGTTAACCAGTGTAAAATTTGTTTTGAAAGCTAGATAATTTTCCCGCAGGTACAGGGAGAATATAGATGTATTATAATTTTAACTGTTATCAGTATTTTAGATGAATTCCAAATCGGTTGTTGATATTCGACTGCATATGCCAGAAATTGCTCAAGCTAAGAAAGACATTGAGCAAGCGGTCGTTTCATTGATGAAGAATAGCGAGGTTTGTCATAATTGATGGAGCTGTTATCTACGCATACTTCATATTCCCTTTTGTGCTTTATTCATATTTGTCGTTTTTAAAGGATTGGTTGTCTGTCTCTGGTACTTCTTATATCTACAGTCGACAGCTTCATTCATTTGCAATGCTAGCTTTGGATGGCTTCATCAATAAACGGGCTGAAGAGATTACTTCCGTTTGGGGTAAACAAAAAGCATCCAAAAAACTGGAAAAGGTATATTGCACCAAAATGTTCATGCGCACTTCATGCATTTATATTGTTTTACTCATATTGTTTTCGTCATCTATTATTTTTTTAAAAAGCAAAAAAATTTTCTTATAGAAACAAGGTGAGGACTGGGATACAGTGAGGAGCAAAAAAGGCAAAGGTGGGAAAGGAAAAGTTGTGAAACAAATTTCTGAAGAAGCAACTCCAGGCATGTTGTTTCAATTTCGATAATAGAGAAGAATTCGTTTTTTTTTGGCGATTAATTCGAATTTTTCTGTTAATTTTTTGGCAGTTCCTATCATTTTGCAGGTTTTTTGAAAGTAAACAAGAAATTATTTACTTTTTTCTCATTTACTGCGAGTTTAATGGTGCATAATGTCAATTGAATTAGTTCCTTTTCCTTTTTTAAATTTTATTCACCATGAATTTTAGACCTGTTAATTAGATTGTCAAAGGAAGAACTGATCAAGGAGCTGAAAAGGACAAGTGATATATCAAATGAACTACTAGAGGATGTTACTGAGCATATATGGACGAAAGCAGAGATTCTCCTTAAAACTCGAACAGAACTATTGCTGCATAACGTGCGGACGATATCCATACAAGATCAAAAACGTGTTCATGCACAGCTGCAGGAAACATTGTGTGCACTGTATGATAATATTTGTATTTTTGAATATGGCGCAGCTACTTTTGAAGGTTAATTTAGCTACATTCGTACATAGAAATCGTCTTGAATTTATAATATTATCAAGCTCTGCATAGAATGTTTGTAAATGCTCTATTCATACTAATGAAAGAAGAAATTCGATACTGTATCGGTAATTCCCAAAAAGGAATTATTGCTATTCCAACAGTTCTCATTATTCAGCTATCGTAAATGCACAAATTTTTAGTCAGTTTAAAATTCTAGAAAAAAATTAAATAATTTGTTACCTGGAGTTGTTTTCTTATGAAAACAATGCAATTTTCGAGAAAGAAATGAATTCAGATACGGTGGCTGCTAATCTCAAGATATATCTTCTTCGCACATTGTGTACACATTTTGCAAATAATGTATTATCATATGTATCGAGAACACAAAATATTGATACTCTTACCATAAAGGTATCATATAATAATGCACCATTCATGTTACTGTTTTTGCAACTGGTATTGGAGAAGGAATTATCATGACTGGGAATCGGTTGAATTTAATAAACTTTTCAATTACTGATTATTTCATACTCAGATTAATTTTGTTTTAATGGTGTATTTCTTTATTCTCATTTAAACCGATGCTTATTTTCCAATCTCAGCTGATTTCTTCATAAATTTAGCAAAAATAATGTACAACTAACATTACATTTTACTGGGAAGTCCATTTTCATTTCTTTTCTTGATTTTTATGTTTTAGGCTCGAAGTGAAACAATAGCAAGCATTGAAAGTGCGGAAAGTCGTAAGGCAGTTGAGAAGTTGTTCACATCATTGTCAACAAAGAATCTCGAATCATTTCATGATGCGGTGTTTGGTGTTTGTTCTTCAGCCATTTGCGCCTTGAATTTAAAAGCGCCTGACAAAAAGCAGCGGTTTATCTTTGTTTTTTTTTAATTTTTTTATGAACTGGGAATATTTGCCTCTTCATCTCCTTCTGGACATGATCACTGTCTTTTGAGAATAATTCAAATGAGATTTTGTAATCTTTTTTTTCTTGAACAAGTTTATTATATCGAATTGTAACAAATTTATAATATATATATATATATATTATTCTATACTTCATTGAAAGTTTATATCTCTGCTTAAATTCAGCAGATTCCATCAACTTACACAAATGAATTTGTTACCGAGAAACTGCTTTGGTTCTGCAAAGAGTTGGTAGTGTTTCAGATGCAGGATTTTAAAATTTTATTTTGCTATTTTATCATCTGTCGTTTACAATTAATATCGGATTTTCTCGTTCTTGTTTTCAGTGTGGAATTAATCAAAACATATGAAGACCAATTGGTGAGCCAGTTGCGCGAGTGCACAGATCCACCATCCGGTCTTCTTTTAACACTTCTGATATTGCTGGCAAGAAATGAAAAAATCGCGGTGCACGCCTCGGGGAAATTTGTTTCACACTTAATTGCAAAAGTAAGATTTTTTTGTAGAAAAAATGTGGCACGAAAAACGATCCAGCCGTTGTACTATGCAGTTCTGAGTGGTCTCTATTTTCCTTTTCATAAGAGCAAATATTGTTCTACTGATAAGAACTAACGATTAATTACAGGTGGAGAAGCATCCGGAAACGAGTCCAGAGCTTGCCGAATTATTAACGAGTTCCCAAAAAATGATTGTTTGGAGTATGCATTCAAAAGACGATGCAGATCTGACGGCAAAGTTGAACGAGAAATTAACGGCATTGATGGCAACTGTAAATGGTTTTGAATATTTGGAGAAACCAATAGTTGATGACGGTGTACTCAAATTTTGATTAAATATGTTTTGTGTTACTCTCGGCTCTTTGCTATATTCTCTTTTTCATTTTTATAAATCTAGGAATTCTATCTTACAAGCCTCTTCCTCTTGAATTATCTCAAATTCCTCAGGATTAGATTTATAAGATATCCGTGTTTTATCATTTGATAAATTTCATTTTGTTAATTCATCAGAACACCTCTTCCATTATAAGGCTATAATTTGCTGGACGGGATTCATTTCTTTAACAAATTCTTAAATCCAAACTGATATCTTTTAATTTTTTTTTTCAATCGTTGCTTTTTTATTCTCTATATCTTTGCTGTAGTATGTTTCTAGCATGATGTTTTTGCTAATACAATCTGTTTGCCATTATTTTTATAAAGTAAAAATGAATAATCAGTTGCTAAAATGGGATAATCTATCATATAAATTTGTTATCAACAACTAAATAAATTTAACATATTTTATAAATAGTAAATCTGGAATTCCCTTTCATTTAATAATGAAACTTTCAAGTATCATAATCACTGGTTTTTAAAATAAACGAACTGGTCAAAATTTAGTCAGAGCAATTGAAATTACTGAAAAAATTCTCTGGTTCCCAACTCCCCCTATCAGTGATGTAATCTGAATCGTGAAAGTTGGGATGTTTTGTTTAGTCTGGTCCCTGTTCTTTCGCAAGTTTTCGATATGCTTACATTCTATCCTGGTTGTTTGGCTTGCTATCTTATTGCCATTGCAACGGGACTGAAATTTCTTAAACCTCATCATTAACTTCTCTCACCAGCAGGGAACATTTCATTTCCTTTGCTTTTTTCTTTTTTTTTAAAATTTTTTCTCATCCCTCATTTATTTTTCCTCAAAATCAAAAGACAATCTTTGAGAGAATCACGCCACATATTCTGAATTTCGATTCAATTATATTAGTTTGTTTTACCCTTAATTGTTTGATTGGATAAAGATATCATTCTAACAATTATGAACAATTACGACAAGACTTCGAAATCTCATTGCTTTTGTTAAAATCTTTAGACATTTGAGGGGAAGAACATGAAGTATTGCAGATACCGTAGTCCATGGGTTCATCCAATTCGAATGATAAGGTACAGCCGTAAGAGTATAAGTGCTGTCTTTAGAGGAAAATACGACGTGACCAGTTCCGCCTTCTCTACTTTGGCATATTAGTGATGCCGTAGAGATCCGAATTCCATAGCACTTTAGTTTATTTCCAAAATTAGAAGAAGTCTCCAAGTAATGAAGATTTCAGCAATTTCACATTCATTCCTATTCTCTTTTTTACTGATAACATTTGATTGAAGCGAATTGAAATTTCCTAGCTAAAAGTATTCACTTTTCATTTCTGCCATTGTTTCGTTGCTTTGGAAAAAGAAAGTATTAAATTGACGGGTGACTAATAAGCTGTCCGAGTCACCGATGATTGCCTCTTATCGTACTGTTCCTGAATCAAGAAGGGTAGGATGGGCATCACTGGATGCATACATTAATTCATCGTCTTTTAAATTTATTCAATAGTTCTTACCTTCCTCCAGTATTCTTTCTTTTTGCTGTGTATTTCATTTTAGTATGAAAGGAGAATGTTCTCCCTTTTGTTGCTGTTTTCGTGTTTTTGAAAGTGATTCAGGTTTTATCCAAATGATTTTTTGTTTTTTTTTGATCTGTTCTCATTCTCCTACCCTACGAATTACGTAAGGTCGAAATCCGATCTCTGAGGCAAAGATCAGGAGAGCATAAAAGGGAGAGGATTGTATCGGCAGGATGGCTTTTGATACAAAAATTCTAATTTGAATCTTTTTGAAGCTTCTTGAAACTTCGTCTTAAGATAACTTTAATGAAATCAGTTGCAATAATTCTGCTGCTGAACAATTTCCTCCTTAAAAACACTTTCGAGAGAAATTGCAATTTTCAGCTAACAAATTAAACCAAACCTTTTATTGACAAATTTACAGAAATTCCCGTTATTGAAGTATGATTCTATCCATATATATACTACGTCTTATCAAGTATGAAAGAAAAGAGACTGCCCGTTCGTTTCCGGTTTTCTTCTTGGAAGTGATTCCGGCAGGTTTTTTTTTTTTTTTAGAGAAAGTCTCGTTAGAGACAATAATGTCACACAAATATATCGAACAAAGGGTAGATCTTTGCAAACATTCTAATTGGCCACTTGCAGTCATTCTGAAATGAGTATTGTTTTTAGTAATGTAACGGACTTTCGAAAACCATTTGTATCTGGTACGATGCCCAATGATCCTAGTCAACTTCTGACCTCTGCACTGATTGATCCAAATTGTCAAGTTGACCTCTGTGACTCCATAAAGTTCATGAAATTAGTGCCTCCTAAGGATGAAGTTGCTCGAATTTTTTAGTTATAATATCTTCCACAACTAACGCTGATAAACAGCTATAAAAAGAATCGTTAATTCCAAAAACTTTTTTGAATAATGTTGAAAATTTGACAGCTGACGCGCTCAAGTTGACGCAAAGTTGAGGCTTCAGTCTGCCATGAATATCTTTATCATATAGCTAAATATCTTCGACTTTCACTTTCCCTATCCCTCTTTGATCTCTTGTAATTGATCATGATAAGGACTAGGCTATGCCCAAATTCATGACGCAAAAATGCTAAATGAGCCTTACTTTATAGCAGCATTTTTTAATTTTGACCCCTTTAACCTGAAAGAGATCAATAATCAATTCATCATTCAGTTTGCGTTCAAAGAGTCCAGGAAAGGAATTCGAAATTCGTTAAAGTCAAGTTTGAAGAAAAAGGCATTGCTGTTGTTCGTGTGTAGTATCATTGGATATGAAAGGGAGGGAAAGGAGGAGAAAAGAGTCTTGTATCTTGAGAGAGAGGAAAGAGCACTTTCTCTCCCAACTAAAACACATCCACTCAAGCTGTTATTATTATTAGATAATGGTGGTGGTGGTAGTGGTGATGGTGATAGTCGATGGAGGAGATCTCTGGCAGCCTTAATGTGCAAAGGGTGTGAGGTATCGCTCTCGCACTCCAGCTGACCTTCGTCCTCCTCCCGCCTCCGTCTGGAGGTCATCCTTCTCTCACTATATTCCACCGACTAGACCATTCACTCGAGTCTCCAACAAGACAGCATTGATTTTCGTTCTCTTCCCTTTGTCTACTATATAAATTTCTTTTGGAATGCTGCCAACCTACATTTTTCTCATATCAGATTTCACTCAAAAGCTCATTTATAGGAATGAACGGTAAACGACACCATATCCTCTCTCTAATCGATTACATTTTCTCTTGAAAAAGCGGAGGAGTTGAAAAGTGGATGAATTGATTACTCCGGGGATGCAATTTTTGACCTTTCTTGTTCTCTTCAAATTTTCAAAATGAAATGAAATCTATTTTTATTATTTTCTGTTGTAACATATGTTTGTCAATCACTTTGAGTAATGACTGTCATGTCACTTTTGCCAAAATTAATTGAAAGGTCATTCATTTCCTTCTTCTTTCATCTTTTTTGGTGAAATTATTTTTGTGCTTTTTTCTTTAATTTCTACTAACTTTTTCCGCTTTGTTCTTTTCTATTTTTCCATTACACTAAATTAGGATTAGGGTCAAAGTTCGCCCCAGTTTTTTTCTTTTCCTTCTATTTCGACAATGGACAATGTGGATTTGAAACGAATGTCATTCATCCTTTGTAATTTGCTCCTGAAATTAAAAACTGAAAGCAATATTGAGTGATTTGATATAATAGATCAACACGTCCGGAAGTTTG